CACTAAGGAAATAGGTTGTTTTCTGCCCTCAGTAGTATCCACCCTAAAACTCTCCCTTTGGAAAAAGACTTTTGGACAAATGAATTGGCCAGTGTCCAGGCTTCCTCTTTCCTTTGGGTTGGGCCATGATAGGTATTAATCCTCAAATGCAGCTGAGAGTTAAAGACCAGAGAGAAGTTCCCTCTGGAGCAGAGCAAGTCTAATTGTGTATGTATGTTGGGCATGGGGGATGGTGTTGGGGAAGGGAGGGACATGGGCTCAAACTCTTTAAAGAATATATTGTGTATTGTGAAGATAAGGTATATTTCCATGTATTCCTAAACTGGTGGCAGGATGCTTTTCTCCTGTAAAGGAATAGGTGAGACTAAAGTGCAAGAAGGTCAGCAGGGGTCTTCAGAGGAGTGATATATGATATAATGTGTTCATTTTTCTTCAAGGTGGACTATTATATTAGTTTATTAGGGTTTCCATAACCAAGTACCATACACTAGGTGTAATAAGCAACAGATATTTATTTTCTCACAGTTCTGGGAGTTGGAAGTCCGAGATCAAGGTGTCAGCCGGGTTTGTTCCTTCTGAGGCTGTGAAAGAAGGATCTGTTCCAGGCCTCTCTCCTTGACTTATAGATGGCTGTCTTATCGCTATGTCTTTGCATTTTCTTCCCTCTGTACATATCTGTGTCCAAATTTCCTCTTCTTATAAGGACACCAGTCATATTGGATTAGGTCCCACCCTAATGATCTCATTTTAACTTAATTACCTCTTTAAAGAATGAATCTCAAAATATAGTCACATTACGAGGTACTGGGGATGAGGACTTGAACATACAGACTTCATGGGGGACAAAATGTGGCCTCTATCAACTATACAGCAGATACACCTCATCTCATAGAGCTTCTATTGCTCTATGTACATTGTACATTGGCTAAGAGCTAAGTGACAAACAAACCTTGAATTAATTAGGGTGCATTTTAGGGGGGTTGGGATTACTTTGTGAGTTGAGGGAATACGTAAAATAATTGAGATGTGAAAGACAATATCCAGTATTGCTCTTCAGTTCCAAGTAAGTAGTCTTTGAGGAGTTGTCTAAGAGCCTGTGGAAGTGGTTCTCCATCATTTGGAAACTGATAATGTCGGATGCTTTGTTCAGGGAGGTTTCTGATGGTCCTTCTTGCCATGGACAACAAACTGCCTAATTCTTCTCCTGGGCCTCCCCTGACACACAGCAATGTTGGTTGTTGTGCTCAGTGGCAAATGCTTGGACTTTCTTCTATTAATATAAACTCCAAAAACCTCAATGTAGAGACATAAGTTCCTATGGAAAACTGAGTCTTCACTCTTCACCTGTGTCAGAGATGTCTCCTAAGCCAACCTAAGGCACTTGAAATTACTGTAGGAAGAGACAGGGTAAAGAAATTTACCCTGTCTGGCCCAAAGTAGTTACAGACTCCTGTGTTGCTAGAATGAATCATGTTCCAAGCTTCCTCCCAGACAGTAGAATCCAGTGAATGAGGAACAGTTTTAGCCTTAATGGAACTAGAAAGTAATCAGTCTTCAGTTCTTCTTGTCTCCCATCTTCGTTCCAACAACAACTTTTCTTCACTTACTCGGTACCCTCTGTCCTTTTGATGCCCAACAGTGGTCCAATACTTCCCAAATTCTTTTAGCCATCTCTCCCTCAATGACAGCACACTGCTTCAAACCTTAAAGGTCTTCTAGGCTCACCAAACATTTATAATGAAATCCTCTCCATATCCCTAGCTCTTCTGAAACATTTCAAATGATGAGAAATCCACTGCCTTGGGAAACAACTCGTGTCATTTTTGAAAAACCTTCAATTTTTATAACGTTCTTTCTTTTTGGAAACTTGATTTTTGTTCCATCTAAATCCCACACATCATTACTAACTTGATCTCTATGAGTCATACTCAATCAGTTGACTCCATCTTCCACTTGACTGCCACTGCATATTTAAGGACAGCTAGTGTGCCTCGCATGAGTCTTGTATACCTTAGGTTAGGCACTACCATAACTGACATCTCCAACCAAAGTTTTGGGTGCCATTTTTTGGCTCTTTTTATCTGGGCCTCAATTGTCTGAGTGGGTCCTAATGGCTACTAGTGGATCAATGCTGAAGTATGCTGAGATTACTCCTCACCTTTCAGGGCTCAGATCAAATGTCACTTCCTGTTGAAGCCTTCCTTGATGTTACTCAAATATCAGGCAATTAACAGCTTTTTTCTTGACATTCTCATACCACCTAGTATATGACTTTGCTATAACGCTTACTACAGTGTATCACAACCTTTGATTGACATTTTCTCTCTTGCTATGTTATGAAGCTCTCTTTGACTAGGGACTGTGTCTTAACCTTAATCATTACGGTGTGCCCCGTTCCTGGCTTCGAAGTGGATTCACGTTTATTGGTTGCTTTGCTGATTCAGGAAACCAAAGTTCAAATTCAAGGTACCATAACTGGTCAGAAAGGGAAATTTCTTTTTTGTGGGAGATTTTTGATGGTGTTTAGATCAGACCCTTTGAGGAAAATTTTGGAAGACGTATATTTAAATTCTCCAGTGCAGGCCAAGAGACTTTTGGGGAGTACAGAGTGCAGCATGGCATACCACTGAGACTTCTCAGATGCTTCTGGAATTCCAGTGCAAATCATGGCCTGCATCCCTAGTGTCAAATTATGTCTGGTTTCCCCAAACCTGTACCCCATTGAAAAGCTGTCTTTTCTCCCTTTCTTTGAGGGGAGATTCATCATCAGGCTTGTTTATTTAGTTTTCTAAGGTGAGGGTTGGAGGCCCTTATTACCAAGGAATGATTCCTCCCCAAAAAGGTGGGGAACCAAAATGTATGTTCTCTCTTCCAAGGGATGTATTTTCTAAAAAGAATTTTGTCCAGCTTGCTGTATAATTTGCTTGCTTGCTGATGTTATGCGAATGAAGTCCTGGATGTCTTTTAAAGCCTGAATGCATTAGAGTCAGGTCTTAGCCCTTCCTGAGATAATCTTCCTCTCCAAACAATAAACAGGGCAAGGACATTTGAATCTAGCTGTATATCTTCAGAGCACATTTATTAAGATCCTCTTGTAACTAAAATATGTTCTGGGGCTGGAAGAGTTCATTCTGTTCATTTTCTCAAATGTCTTCTTTATAGTCATTTCTGTCCACCCACCTATCTCAGATGGATATCTATAGAACTATTAAAGTTTCGTCAAGGACAAAAAAAATCAAAATTTGTTCTTGTTCTGATCTGTGACCAGTTCTTATCAGTAACTGCCTTTTAATTTTAGCATTTTTTACCAAGTTCAGTATTTGAAAGGTGGCCTGGTGGTTTACAACACCCTCAAGACTTCCCAACAACTCAGCTACTGCGATGCAGTTCAGAGGTGGATTGTTCTCCTTTTAAGATCATATGTAACAGTTCATATAGTAATCTAACATGTTCGTTAAAGATAGCTTTGCAGGATTGCTTCATATGATATTTGTCATTTGGTGTAGGATTAAATCAAATTCTCAGTAATAAATAAATGTGGCGAGAGTTTTCCTGTCTTAAGTTGGGGTGGGAGATGTGTTGGGAGGGTCATGGTCGATATCCCGAAGGCCTAATTCTACGTCTGTGAACCATGTAGTGGGATTGCTGTCCCACTCTCTGTGTTATGGATATATAAATGAGAAATATCAGATAAATTTCAGAGGGAGAAATGCTAAAAACTAAACCGAGTTCACCCTTTGATGCTTGAAATAGATCTTTTAAAAGATAAAATCAGTTTATAGTAAATATTTGGAATTTGAAGCTTTTTATATTTTCTCTCTTGAGTTGGCAATGTTATTCAGAGAAAATAAATCGACTGCACAGGCAGTTAGCTATTCCTGGGACATTGCCTAATTATATGCGGTCATTGTTGTAGAAACTCAAGTGACCTCCCTCAAAACTGAGGTAGAGAATCACTATCAGAGAGAAAATGTGGACAGTGAATATGGTCCAAGATGCAGGAGTGTATTTCTTATGCTGTAAGCTTGTCAGACCTGCCTGATTCTATTGAAATTCTTAAGTTTGTATGTGAGACTCTGCCAGGCCCCTGGAAGGGAGGCCTCTGTAGAAGCATCTTCCTTTTCCACTAGTAAAAAAGGCAAGAGAGGGTAAATGTAGCCCTGAGAATTCAAGACAAGTTATTAAGATGCATCTGAGCTCGAGGCTCTCATCCAAGGAGTGCTGCAGTTGCAAGGTGAAGATGGGGGAGGGGGAGACAATCATCGGACAGTTAGTGCAGATACAGTTGTCAAGGCAAGGAGAGAGGGTGGTGTTTAATATTGAAATCATGTATTCCAGATGTGGCCAATTGGTAGTCAGTCTGCTCTGAAGTGACATGCTGCTGAATCTTTAAAGGGCTTCAGCCGGGGAGAGCAAAATCTGATTGGGCAAATTGCTAAAATATTTAAAGTGCAGCCTGTTAAAGCTTTTACTGCGAAGAGCATCATGTCAGAAGTTGTAGTCAGAAAGAGCGAGTAATTGGCTTTCCATCCTCATGCCAGTCAGTCAGCACGAGGCTCTGTTCCTATTCCTTCCTCTTCATTGCCACTGCTAATAACAACCCTTTGCGGGGGGTGTGTGTGTGTGTATGTGTGTGTGTGTTTGTGGTGTGTATGTGTGTGTACTAGATAGCTGGTAAAATGAGAGAAGGAGAAGTTAGAGATCCATAAAAAGGGAGACTAAATCCACAAAATGATGTGAAGGCCCTTTTAGAAAAAGAGAAACAGGAGAGAGAGACAGAATTATTAGCTGACAAAGGTCACCTGTACTTCCAGGTGGTGGTGGTGTTTGGGACAGTTGTCTTTTAAAGGATGAATGGGTTCTGCAAGCAAAAGAATGGCCTTCAGTAACAACCACTTTCTCTGCACCTTTCATCTCCTCTGAGATGTAACTCAGGGGATGCTTTCCATTTATAATTTATCACATTTTCCACTTAGGTTTTCCTGTCCCTTTCTCCTCAGGCATGACCCCTTGTTAATTCCTGGCAATGATCAGATTGACAACATGGACTCCAATGTGAAGAAATATGACTCCACTGGGATGTTTCACTGGTGCGCACCTAAAGAGATAGAGAAAGTCATCCTGGTGAGTGATGGACGGTGGAATCGATGCCATCCACTACTGTCCCAAACTACATTTGCTTGGAGTGAAGTTTTCCTAACTGGATGGTGGGATGATTCAATCTCTGGTCCTAATTATTTTTGATAATTGAAATTCGGGACACATATTGAAGAAGCTAGAACTCTCATCAGAACATGAACTGAGAGTGGTATTTTCAAACTCTGAATATTTATTGACTCATTACAGTAGGGAGTGATCACATGCTGTATGAAAGGCATCATAGGAGGCAGTATGCATCATAACTCCTGCGGACGTGGCTCTGGAGCCAGAGCCTGCCTGCGCCATTTAGTAGCTGCACAGCCTTGGACAAGTCACGTGACCTTTTCACACTTCAGTTCTCTTATCTGTAAGAAGATGAGATGAGAATGACCCTAACTCGTAGGTTGTAGTGAAGATTAAAACCCAACATACGACTCAATAAACTTACATGTTATTAGTATTGTTTGTTATTATTAAATGCCATGAAGAAATCTGAATGCTGTCTGTATTGTTACTTGTTTGTAACAACGTCTTGTTTCCTTCTAGATAAGAGCCTTGTGTATTTGTGATCCTTCTTAGCATACAATGTAGACAAGCAGAATGCATTTGCTGATGATGACAGTGATGATCCACAGTTGCACCTCTGGGAGTAGGTGCTCAGAGTTTTATTTTTTGGTTGGCTCATCTCAGTAGCAGCAGCAGGCTTCTTCTGGTCTGTCCCAGGAATGTCAGCATAGATAACAGTCCATTCTACTCTTTAGAGTTGGCGTCTTAACAGCTTTAGGTTTTAATGCCTACATGGACTCTCCTACAGTGTCTTGTCTTGCTAATCCATGAAAAATGCATTACTAATCAGGAAGTCAGATGGAAGAGTTCTTTCTCCCTTGTGCCTTCTAATCCCTGGATTGCTGTGGCCTGCTCCTTTATATCAGCCAGGAAAATCCTATCATTTCTGATGTCACGGCTTCCCTTCCTAAAAAAGGACTGTTCCAGTTCCTCAGAATGGTTTTGTATTCTAATCCACTAGATTTTTCCCTGTGTTTTATCTGAATGTGAGTGTGCGTGTTTTCTCTAATTATAATCGAGCATTCAAGGCCAATACAGCATTGTGCTGGAGGTTGTCTCGGAGGTGTGAAAGTCACAGACAAAAGCACAGAAAGTCAGATTTGTCAGGAAACAGCTATTATCCAACTTACCAGGAGTGCAAATGGTTCTAATCACAAAGCTGCTCCATATATTTACATCCTGATGTTGTGTCCACTGCACTTTTGCTCTGGTGATCTAAACTCAGCCTAGCGTTACCTACCTGTGGCAGGTGCAAAGCTTGCTGCCCTCTCTGGAATCAAGGGTTTTAACAGCTTGCCTACATATTCCTGAGGAGTAAATGGCTAACTGACGTCCAATCAAAGTTCCCTTTCGGCATGAAAGAGTTTAAGGAGGCAAGTTACTACTTCTCTCATCTGAAGAATAGTATCATTTAATGAACATTTATAACAAGCCTTCTATGTGTTAGGCACCGTTCTCATTGCAGGGGGCACAGCCCCTGACATTGACCTCTCTCATAAAGTTTGTATTCCAGTGGGGCAAAGAGAAGACCTCCAAGTAGACAAATGAATATGTAATAACATTTCAGATATTGATAAAGTGCTATGAGGAAAATAAAATAGGGTCCTGGGCTAGAAAGGGACTGGGAGGTGCTGTTTAGCTGGTGTGGTCCAAAAAGCTTTCTCTAACGTAACATCAGAGCACAAAAGGAGAATGCTTGTAAGAGCCAGCTATGTGAAGTTTTGGGATTGTGAGTACCCACTGGGTTCAGGATGCTAACTACTTTGGGTGTGAGGAAATGGGAGATGGCCTCAATCTTGAGGAAATGATCATCTCATTAGAGAGAAGTCACAAAATGTAACCATGATATAATATATTTGAAGCTAAGTGTTAACGAGACTCAAAGTGCTGTTCAAATTTAAGGGAGAAGACTAGTGTGCATTTAAGTGGCCAGAAAGTCTTATTGGACACAAACAGATTGTGCTTCAACGGATTTAAGGCCATTAAGGCCCAGCTTGGGTTAGACCTTGAAGGCTGCATAGGAAACTCAAGATGCACACATGAGTAGTTTCTCTAGTGAGTCTTAAACCTGGCAGAATCATACTCTCCAGTGTTGAGGCCCAGGAATTGGGACCTTTTCAAGGTTCTCCTGGTATTGTTGCTGTAGCCAGTCTAAGGATTGGTGTCTTGGTCCCCAGATCTAAGCTAATGGGGTCAGCATCTGTGCCTCGGCCACTCTGCTAACTCATGCCTTCCCTATCTCCCTATTCTAGAATTCTATCCTCCACTCTAGACCCAGTTTGTATTCCTTGGGCTTGCCAAAGAGAGCTAGCCTCCCAGGTGACCTGGACAGTTAAAAATAATTAGGAGCTCCATCACAGCATATTACAGACTGGTTGACCCTATGCTGGTGGTACCCAGGCACTCACACTTCCATGCAGCCAAGATAACTAACTCCAGGTCTTCTTCATTGAAGTGCTGATGTGGGATGTGACTCCCCAGTGTGTCCTTCTTGGTCACCATTTATAAGACATTTCTTATAAATGCCCCTGTCTTACTTGTCCCTGTACTGTTGCAGAGGGAAACCAATAACGGTGACAGCCCTTGCTTTATTCTAATGATTAGGGAGTGAGAGCTAGCTTCTTCCTCTCCTTGGGGGTTACTATAATAACCGTGACATTGTCATGAATTGCAATATTGGCATTTAAACAGTCAATACACTGCTCAATTCTAGGGATTAAATCGAGCAGAGTTTGATATGTGCAGTGGACATTAATATGCCTCCCCCAAAGCATTGTAAGCCACATGGGGCCATCCAGGCATGCCGTGGGTAGACAGGGAGGGAGGAAGGCAAGATGAGAGGGATTGGACTAGAAGAGGCAGAGAAAGGCCCACAACTGGCCTCCTTGTGTTGTTCTCTTCACTAACGCAGTAAGCAAAAGGGCCGGCAGCAGCTAACCATTTTCATTTCCTGGGAAGCTGGGGTCCTCCTTTAACTGGGGTGATTTTATTCTTTAATTTGTCTTTTTTGTGGATACAGGCCTGGGGTTGGGGGAAGACGTGGGCTTGTTGCTCTTCCTGATCTATCTTTGGATCCTTTTAATTATTATTTGGGAATCTTCCTCTACACAGTCTGCACAGGTGGGCCACTCCAGACATTCCCCTGGAAACTCCAAGGCAGCAATGGACAACGGTCAGCAAACTCTTTCTGTAAAGGGTCATATAATAGATAGTTTAAGTTTTGCTGGCCATACGGTCTCTGTCACAGCTAATGAACTCTGCCATTGTAATGTAAAAACAGCCATAGGCAATACCTAAACGAATAAGGTTGACTATGTTGCAGTAAAATTTTTTTGAAATCCGAATTTCACATAATTTTCACATATTATGAAATATTCTCCTTTCAAATTTTTTCAACCATTTTAAAACTTGAAAACCAATCTCAGCCCACTGGCCATGGCCATAGAAAAGCAGGTAGTAGATGAGATTTTGCCCGTGGGCCATAGTTTGCCAGCACCTGGCTTAGGACAGCATGTTCTATCCCCTGATGCAATGATGTACTGTGAAATCCCACTGCTGAGCCTAGAACTCAAAACTCAAATTTCTCAAGCTGAGACCAACATAGGATCTGACCATTTTATCATCATCTCAGCAGGAGACATGGAAAAGGCAGCTCATTTTATCAACAATTTCATGGAAACTAAGACATCTCTTTCCAAATGTCATAAATATTGCTATTTCTTCTTATTTTACCACCTGAAGATCAGTATTAAAGGACTCTTACTCATATGCCTATCTTTCTTAAATCTTTTATCAAAAAAGGTAGTGATATGTGTGGATATATGTTTCATATGTTTATTACACCAATATAATATATATGCACATATGGTGTAGTATGAATTATAAATTATAAATATATATGGCACATATATAACATTAATGAAATAAAAATAATAGCACACAATAGCACATAGTACACACTCAACAAATGTTTACATGATCCTTTATACAAATGGTTCTTTTAGTCTTTACTGCAACCCTGTGAGGTCTTTTCGCCAATCCTTGTGCACTTCTCCCTGTTGCAGACTCGAAGTGAAGCCGCCATGACTGTCCTGAGTGGCCATGTCGTGGTCTGCATCTTTGGCGATGTCAGCTCAGCCCTGATCGGCCTCCGGAACCTGGTGATGCCACTCCGTGCCAGCAATTTTCATTACCATGAGCTCAAGCACATCGTCTTTGTGGGCTCCATTGAGTACCTCAAGCGGGAATGGGAGACACTTCATAACTTCCCCAAAGTGTCCATATTGCCTGTAAGTCCAAGGTCACGTTATTGATGTTTTTTTCTTTTCATTCGCGAAAGAAAATCCCAGGTGAATATAATGCTTGTAGCTTTGATCATGCCTCTGCTTCTTCATCTGGTTTTGGGCCTGAGGACTCAGCCCTTCCCCTGTGCTCTCTAGGAATATCCAAACCCTGGGAGACCTTATTAAAAGGAATTTGCAGCCAAGTTCAGCTGCTCATCAGGCATGAAGTTTCTCTGGTCTCAAATGTATTAACCATATTGGTGTCTAAACACTCTCTCTCTTGCCTATCCAAACCTAATGCTTTGAGATATTATGATGCTTGTAGCGCAATTTACTTATGGAACTATGTAGATCATTTTATTTATGACGTTATTAATGCTTGGCAAATCTTGATTGTACCATGTTCTATTTTTAACCAAATGTATTTAACAAAGTTCTTTATTTATTTCTGCTGTACAGAAGGCCAACTTCTTCTGCTGGTCAACCCCTACCTCCCATTAGTTTAGAAACCCAGCAATGTTTTCATGGGTTTGTGTGTGTGCGTGCACATATGTGCTTGTGATTCTTGACTGAAAAACACTAGTACCCAAATCTGAAAGAATAGTTTGGAACACCACAATTTAGTGTAAGGACATGGGATACATGATCTGGGAGTCATGTAACTAACTACTTGTTAATCACTAATCAATATATTTTCCATAAGCTTTCCAAAAATTGTATTTTACATTTCAACATTTGATATAGTTCTCCATGTCACAAATCCATGCACATGTCACTTATTCTCGACACATTTTTCTTGGAAGTTCACATTCCTAAAATTGAGCAACACAAATTTGATGCTACATTTCAAGAGATCTGGGTTATTTCCCACTTACAGAGCTGAAATTCATTATTTCGATTATCAGCTGCTGGAACCTCAGAAATGGAAAAAAAGAGTCGAGTAATATAGTTCAATGAAGAATGCATAAGAATCTACCCATAAGTAATATTCATTAGAAGCCACCGTTTGACCTTACATATGCCTGGCACCAAGGTACTCAACAAATGTTTAAAGAAGTGAGAAAAATATAGACAGATATCTTTTCAATGCTGGGCCAAAAACTTACTGACTTAATAAACGCATATAGGTAAAAATAGTCACCTGCAGAAAAACAAATTGTCATACACAGAGAAGAGCATAAACAGATACAGACCTTGGTAATTTCAGACATGATAGATTTGATTATATATTTGCATGATCTTCCTACATGTGTGCTTCCACATGGTACCCTGGGAACACATGGACTAGGATCTAAAAGTATTTTGTAAAGACCTTATTATTTTGCTGGGCTATGTGAGTCTGTGTGTATGTGTGTGTGTGTATATGTGTGGAGTGTTGGGTGTGTGTGTATGATGTTTGGTTTGCATTTGTGTATGTGTGTGTGTGGAGTGTTGGGTGTGTGTATGTGATGTTTGGTATGCATTTGTGTGTGTGTATTGTTGGGTGGTGTGTGTATATTTTGTTTGGTATGCATGTGTGCATGTTGTGTGTGTGCATGTTTCTTCTGTGTGCCCTTGTACACATTCACTCACCTGCCTGCGTATATATATAAATGAGCTGCCATATTTGTGGGTCCTTTTCAAACCCTCCAAAATTCAGCACACTCAAGCACAACATATTTGTACAAAATGGGCCTTCACCTACGTCTCCACATATTTCATCGTTTAAACAGTGCCCTACATTTAGGGCCAGCCTAGACAAACACAAGGTGTTTCTATGTATGTCATTTGTATTCCTTGAGTTTTAAAATCATGTGTACACGACTAAGCAGGGATTGTCTTATATCACAATTACTGCTGGATTCCCTACAAAGTGAAAATGAAAAGAATATTGATGTAGGCAATTGAGGCTTATGCACTGGTGAAATGTTTCAGAAAGTCGGTCAGACTTATTTTGTATGAAGAGATCCCAGGAAAAGAGGGGATTCTTCTCCTTCCCTCACAAGATACTGCTCTGGAGCCTGGAACTAGTAGCTTCTAAGCCCCGTAGCACTAAATGCCTCTTCCTTGATAATTCCACTTTGCAGCAATATTTTGGGGGCTGAGAATAGAGTCATGACTGTCACTGAGTTATAAAAGGGAGTTGATGGTTTCGATCTCTGCAGCCAATTCCCATCTTCTCAAAAGTCCCTTCTCCTGGAAGGAGAACGAGAGGAAGGCCTCCAGAGATAGATGGCAGTTGGCAGACCTGGCCTCTACACAGTCAGTGAGTTGAAGGTGACTTGAGTCTCCATGTAGAAGCTGGATTCAGGCTGGAGGACTAAGAAGGCTGGTGGCTGGCTGTGAACTCCAAAACAATGCCACATGGCCCTGGGGAGCTCTAATATGGGACGGCCTGATTAGTTCTGCTGTGACCCCTCATGAGGACACAGAGCATGTGGAGGTCGTGCCACTCTTCTCTTTTACCTGTGTTTGCATTCTCAGCCTCTTCGTCATTACCTCCTTGATCTGGGTTTTTTCCCACTGTTTTTTGCTGTTATGAGATGTTTGAAAAATCTGTTTACTGGCTTATTTATTTTTAATTACTCCAGTAATATACAAATACATTCTTGTTATAAAATATTCAAACAGTACAGAAGTATATAAAGTAAAAAAAAACCTTTTCCCTTCACCCTTGATCTTATTCTCCTCCCCAGAGGTAATTACTGTTATTAGTTTAGTGTGAATTTTTCCTGAACTTTCTCTCTGAATGTACATACACTTATAAATACATAGTTAATAGCTACATAAATGTATAGTTTTATTTTGTGAGTTTCTTTTTACATAAATGAAATCATCCTTTTGAGTTGTTTAGAACTTTTTTTCACTTATCTATTTTAGAGATCCTTCCAAGGTGACACCTGCATGACAGCTGTGTCAGTCCCTTCACCTGCTGCATAGACTTCTGTTGTATATATGTCCCGTGGTGTGTTTAACCATTCCTATGTTGTTGGACAATTAGCCAATTTCCTTGTTTTTTCTTGCTGAAAATATGCAAAAAAATTATATGACCTGAAGCTTAACTCCTTTTCGTCTCCCCTTTGCAAGAGGCACATTAATTCCACTGCCTCCCATATCCTCCAAATTGAGCAGCAGTTTCAGCGCCCCCCAACACACCCTCCTCACTGGCTATTTCCCCTTGGCTGCCTTGGAAATTTTAGTTGGAGCTGCTGTCTTTTGCCTGAGGCAGAAGTGACCTGCTATTAAATAAACAGGCATTTGAAACCCACCCCCTTGTTACGTTCTGAAAGCCAGAGGTTGCCACAGGACAGTTACTGAAATCAAGACGATTGCCAGGCAGGAAGAAGATGTAGAGCCCTGGCCTTATTCCTTTCCCTTGTTTGTTAGTAATGGCTTGATTGAGTTTTGAGAACAAGCCTAAAATGCTGCCATCAGCACCGACTACCCTTTAGATTAGCACACAGCTCCTAGTCCCGTGAATGCAGTTAGGCCAGCTTAATGTCAAGGCATAAAAAAGATACTTGTTAAATAATTTCCCAAAGCTCCAGCTCAATCTTTAATTTGTTTTTATTTTTTCCTCTTTCCCTCTCGTCCCTCAGTCTCACTTTTGCTTCTCCTTTTTCTTCTTTCTTCTATGCCGAAGGGTACGCCATTGAGTCGGGCTGATTTAAGGGCCGTCAACATCAACCTCTGTGACATGTGCGTTATCCTGTCAGCCAATCAGAATAATATTGATGATACTTCGCTGCAGGACAAGGAATGCATCTTGGCGTCACTCAACATCAAATCTATGCAGTTTGATGACAGCATCGGGGTCTTGCAGGCTAATTCCCAAGGTAAGGACAGCCTGTAATACTTCTCTGCTGTGCCTACAGGGGACAGGGGCTGGCAAAAGGGATATCCTTCACTCAATAATTCAAAGACGCTCACATCAGCCTGCCTGGCAGTGAAACCTATGGTCGCTGTGATGGTTTTCAAAAGGGCATCTGCTGCCTCTTCTTGCTGTCCTGAGAAGCAGGCTTGAGACCTGAACTCCTGCATTCAGAATAGGCTGCCTTCCCAGAGATTAAACCAACCTTTAAATCACCACCCACCCAGCCATTCCAAACTGTGGCTTAATGATCAGAGTCATCAGCTAAATGGTCAGAGCACAGAAAAGATGCTGGCTGAACAATTCCCAGTGTTTCTCCCCAGTATATATATTTCCGTTTGACCTATTAAGCTTTGCTATTGTTATAGCTGCATGGAGGTGTTAAGCTTTACATTGTGATCTGCTGACCAAGGGATGGTGATCTCTGGAGAGTGATGTCTATATGGATGTTAAAAGTCATTGAGCAAGTGGTGATGCTCATCAGTCCACACATTCTCTATAGGAGATAAAACAGCGTGAAATGATGCACCTCTGCCTTCTCTGCTTTGCCCCGGTCTTCCCTGTCATTTTCTCCAGGATCTGGAGCAAGCTAATTACAAGTAAAGATGTCATCTATGGGTCTTAGAGAGGCAGCACAGGGAAAACCCCACAACAAACAACTTCACTCATCAGGGCCTGGCAGGATAGGATGTGAAGCATTTTCCTCCAAATAACGCCTCAGTGTAGGCTTGCCATGAACTGTGTGTAGTCTACTGGATGGGTGGCATTGGGTTCCTGATGGGGGCCTGAATCCCATCTTTCCAGTATCAAAGGTAGAGAGAGCACAGCCCATGAGAACTATGGCTGCTAGGATGTGAAGTTCCATCTTATTGATATGATAAAGCTCAGCTCGATCATGCGGCCTGGACCTGTGTGCTGGATTATCTTCTGTTGACTCAGCATCACGACACCTCCTTCTAATATCTGCTCAACATTGCAGCAAAGACAGGAAGAAGAGTCCCTAGAATCTTCTTCCTTGCATGGTTCTAGGCTGGAGTCTGCTAATGAGAGAGGAGCACAGGGGTAAGATCTGGACATTAGAAGAGATAAAGAAGTCTTGATTCTTTGGAGGCAGCTGCATGCAGACACTGAGCAGGTGCAAGCTTCAGAGAAACTCTCAGGGGAGCTTTCTGAGAACCCCTGGCTTTGCTGCTAGGGACTGACAAAGGGTCTGTGGGCTTCTTCGAGGGTCTTGAGATTCACAGCACCTTCTGGTGAAGTTCAAGAGAACCTTCCACTTGGTGTTGCAGGTGAAATGGCTAATGATGGCCTCTTTGACTTGTGCTGCTACAGTCCTTGCAATGGTTGTGTCAATTGTAATTTTCTCCACAGTTGGAACAGAGTGGCTTCTATTCTTGACATAACTCTGCCTGATACAGCCTGAAGCCTAGTTTTGACCTCTCCCTTCCATCCTCCTCCACCTCTCCCCCAAATCTAGCTCTTGGTATCCACTTGCTCAGCCGTACCCACAGGGCAGAGCAACATGTCAAGGCTCTAAGAAAGAACTCTTATCTACCCAAGTGCATACTGGGGAGGCAGGGCCTGCCTCCTGCACGCCTACTCAGGGAGTAGAGGTGACAAAGGATGTGAGAAGACAGTAAGCTGGCCTTCTGGGAACTGGAAGAGGCAAGCTAGCATTTGGTTCCTGCTTTTAAGTACTTGTTCTCCAATGTGGTTCCTCCTTCCCCCACTCCTACAAGGACATCACCCAGGGACTTTGTTAGAAATGCAGAATCTCAAGTCCACCCCAGACCTTCTGGGCCAGAATCTGCATTCTAACAGGGTTCCCAGGTGACTCAAGTGCACTGCTTTAAGGCACAATAAATCTTCACACTAACAAAACCAGGTCCGGTGAACAAGCTGACCAACTCGAGTAGATGCTCGCTCCTCTTCTGGTTGGAACTAGTAAGGGGAATGGAAAGAAATGGAAGCTGGAGAAGTGCTCCCTTCGGGAGGAGATGGAACTAAGCAGGAGAGGCAGGAAACCACTCCCTTTCCCCAATGTGCCTATCTCCTCCCAATCCACTAATTATGTTTTTCAGTCCATAGATCAAAATATCAATGTATAATTTAGTTACACGATTATACAATGTATAATTTAGTATGGATCTGACATAGGTGTTCCTTCCAGCTCTCATAAACTTTATCCCAGCCTCTCGGATCCTGTATGATGGAAAAACTGGTAAAAATGCTTCCCCGCCCCGCCACATGATATTCACCCAATTTTCAAAAGCCTTCTTTACTGTTTTTAGCATAGGAATAAGTAAGAAAAGTAGGTTTTGGTGGGAGATGGGAAGAAAAGCAAAGGGAGCTCATTTCTCCTGCAAAAAAAGAGAAGGGCACTCCTTATTTTGTACACACACACACACACTCCCCAAAAGAAGACAGAGGATGTGCCTTTGGCCAGTGGCAATTTTCGTAGACTCCTCGTCAGCAGTGGAGTGGCACATATGCCCCACAGTAGCCAGCTGTCTGTTCTTCTCTCAGTGAGAGACTGTCGAAGCTATAGCCCACCAAGCCCATAATTCCCCACGTCTTCTTACTCCATCTGCTTTTCTCTTGTCCTTGGTTTCTAACGCTCTTCTCTGGTGACACTGTGACCTTCCAAAAGGCAGTAGTCCAGTGGTGGCCATCAACATGGGAAGTAGCTTCCTCCCTGACAGGCGGGTGCTGTATGTTCATCTCTGGCTGCTCCTGTGCAGCTCACTCTTCAGACTCATCCTGGCCTGCGGAGCCAGATGGACGAGCTAAATTTCCCTGCCACTGTCCCTTCTTGAGACCCTTCTGACCAACTGAAATGCTCATTGGCTTCAGATACTTTTGTTACCCTTCATCTGGAAATTTGGCACGATCATGCTCCAAGTGGATGGGAATTACAGAGTACAAAGTGGATTTTATGTTACTCTTTTCATTTTGGGAAACAAATCTAACTTCCAACCTGAGTGATAACTACATAGATTTTTGGCTGCTCCTGCCTGGTTTTCATCGGTATTTATTCTGGAGTTCTTACGAAACCCCATCCTTTGTCCTGAGAGCTACATTATCATCTCTCCAGAACACAGCAGGATAGAAATGTGGACTCAGGACAAATGTGTGTGCTCTTGGACCAGAGTATTCACACATCCTTATATCCTTATGGAAAGTTTTTCTAACATAATAGATATAACATCAAAAATGTGTCTTAACATTGAGGAGGCAGTCTTCATTGGGATTTGTATTTGGACACTTGCCACTGCGTGTTACCTGCTCTCCTAGACTAATAAAACCTCTTTTCCCTCTTCTCTTTTTACATTCTCTGCTGGTGTCACTGTTCTAGCCCACATGGTGGTCAGAACCGACCAAGCCTAGGGATTCTGGACCAGACAGTTTCTGAAAAGATCTGAGATGTGATGGCTGCTTGTCAAAAACAATTACAGAGAAAGGTGCATACCCCATGCTGGATGGTGTATCCGATGTGACAGTTGGGTCTATGAGATGCAGTTTTAATATACAGCAGGCAAGACTGCTGTGACAATTATCTAAAGCAGGTGAAGCCACTTCTTGCTGGTCAGCAAACGTCAGCTCAGAACCACTTTACAGCTCTTTACCAGCAACTAAGTGCCTTTATTTACAGAACGCCTGTCACTTCCCTTTGGCTGGAGAGCTGGTGTATTATTTAGTATGCATTTATCTGGGGAAAACATTTCAATTTAAATCAGCTGGTACAACAGTTGCTCTTGCCAGACTGTTTCCCTATGGTTCTAAAAGACAAGAACTGAGTCTGATTTTGGAAGGGAGTGTGAGCAGAGGGAGGAAAAGTCTATTCTCAGAGCCGCTTGAGTAAGTACCTGGAAAGAGGGAGTCTGTGGTTGAGTTTCCCATTATACTTTATGTCGAGTTGTGAAATGAGCATCTTATAGTTTCTTCCTGCTTATTCTCCCAGTAAGGGTAACTCTTAAGGGAAAGAAAGAGGAATAAATGAGTTCCTGCTGTGCATCAGGTGCTATAAAGGCCCAGGACACAAAGATGACTAGGATTCAGCCACTCACCATCCTCAGGTGAGTGGAGGAGGCACCTCCATAAATAATTACAGTGCAGTGAGACAGGACCAGGCTAGAAATACAGGAGCACAGAGAGCTCCTTATTTTATATATTTCAAGGAGTCGAGAAGGCTTCCAAGAAGAAGTGACATTTGTAGATGGCTATTGAGCACTGAAATGTGGCTAGTGTGACTGAGGAACTGAATTTTTCCTTTTATTTGATTTTAACAAATTTAAATTTAAAAAGTGGCATGTGGCTAATGTGTACCATATTGGACAGCCCAGGTCTAGAGCATAGGCTTGTTGCCTTGCTAAGGGTTCGGGTTTATAGGAAGATGATTATTAAATCCATGTTTTAAAAAGATAGCAGGCAAAAATATGAACACAGTTTAGAGGTAAAAAAGAGAAAATGGCCTGAGCTATGCAAGAAAACTATTACAATGGACTAGAAGGGGTGGGATGACGGCTGACGTACATCTTTAGTGATGGCAGTCACAAAGGTGAGACAGAAATTCAGATGGATTTGAAACAGAAAAGATAGCCAATGAAGGCTGGTTGGATGGAAAAGAGGTGTGGGTGAACAAAAATGAGAAGTGAGGAATGAGTTTCGAGGTTGGCTTCTGGGGAGATGTAAAAGTGATTAAGTAAGCAGAGGACCCAGGAGGAGAAACAGGCTTGGGGCAGAAAGTAAAGAATTTGGTCCTGGTCCATTTGAGTTGGAAGTATCTGTAGAGCATCCAGCAAGAAATAAGAGCATACAGCTATAGGGGTGAAGTTAGATTTGAAGCTATAGACTTGGAAATCATCGGTAATGGACAGTATATAGGCCTTGAAAGTGGGTTTTTCCCAGGGAGACAGGCAGAGCAACTAAGAGAAAAGAATTTAACATGGAACCTTGGGAAGCATC